TAACTGAAAAGCTTAAGCGCCGAGCTCGGACCAGAGTGCTAAGGTAGCTGCGCCGTTGCGATTGTTACTTCGCACACAAGTGTGCTACTCTACAACTTCGGCATTGCTTGTCACAACTGCTGTGATGTCGGGTCCCCTAAGTTCAAAGGGCAAAGCCTTTGCGAGAACAGCAAAGTTCTTAAGTCTAAGTTACCCGACAGAACCTGGGTGAGTCCAACTAGCAGTAACTAGCACAGCCCCCCATCCCAGCACTGAACCGCCAAGTAATTGGGGCCCCCTGCTCTCTGCGCGAAATCGCTGCAACATTGCCTCACGGATCCTGGCCCGAATCCCAACAACTGCCTCACTGGCTTGCAGCTACTTTAACGATATTTCGAGATGTCAAGCTCGAAACACCCCTGCATGCGTCTTCAAGGCCTTGACACACAAGTTCCGAGCAGCTGCCTGGCAACGCCCACCTCGGCGGCTTGTTTCCAGACCGACCGAGTAGACAACGAGACGGAGCAGACTCCCCATCGCTCAAAGCAATCAACAAACCCTCCCTCAGTGCAGAAAAGCAAATTCGCCTGACCCATCGCTGCCGCCAGGTGCAGGGGAGTGCGCTCCTCTCAGGTCAGACTCTGCAATGACTAAAAGCTAATTCTGTTTGGGCCTCGAGAGCCTACGATGATTGTAGTGAAAGGCTCTGAGTAAGAAGCGCGGTAGCTTTGCTCCTCCCTGTCACGCAGGAAGACGTCTGCCCCGGCTTGCAGCAGGGCCTCGGCCACCTCAGCGCAGCGCAGATGGGAGTTTCAGAAAATAGGGGACCCTGATATAGGACCCTAAATAGAAGGATCCTTGTTATAAGGACCCCTAAATAGGTACCCTAGTTTTCTGAACTACCAGATAGCAAGCCGCCATTTTTTGCACGCGGGCATGGCCTCCACGTTGCCCTCGACGGCGCAGTAATGTAGTGCAGTGCGCCTGCACACTTCGTCGTCCACACCTGACGCGCAGCGGGAAGTCAAAGCTGCTCCTCTGGAGACCCTGGCCTGAAATCGGACCTGCCCAAACTCCCCTTGCACTTTCAGTTGGTGAAAGCTTGCCATCACACGTGCAATCCCAGCCGGATGTCTGCACATGCACATGATCGAACACTCTTGTCGCAATGGTAAGTTGTCGTTAGCCGTTGGTTCCTGGAGCGCCCCTCTGTGTGTGTGTGTGTTTGCACTTCCCGGCATGTAAATAGACATCGACTACCGCGAATCTGGGTGGAGAACTGTTGACAAAAAAGTCGTCGCCACCTCGCCTGGCCTCGCGTGAGGTTGCTCATTCTTGAAGGAGCTGCTGAGCTACTGCTTGGAAGCTCGCGGTCGCCTGCTCAAGCAAGTACTTCACGCTGGGTGTATCCCCGATGCTGGCGAAGTAGCACAGCCTCAAGACCGATCTGTGGGCCTGTGCACACTTTACAGCCTTGGTCATAGCCCTGCAGCAGAGACAAACTGACATCTTCCATGTCGTCAACACTTGTTGCCAAGATCCTGGCGACCCGATTCGCGTTCGATGGTACTTCAAGCTGATGACAGGAATCTGACAGGCAATGGTCGAGGCTTTGAGATGATAGTTCAACCATTTCTATTCTATTCTATGCCCCAGAATGACTCCTATACACGGCACATAGCCTTGCGCAGCACCAACGTCATCCTGCGCGAAGGCCTTTGGCACAGTTATTTGGGAGTTTCCGAAAATTAAGGGTACCTTATTTTGGGGTCCTTATAATAAGGATCCTATTATTTGGGGTACTATATTAGGGTCCCCTATTTTCGGAAACCCCAATTTTGATCCAATACAGCATTGGCATCCTCTGTTCACTCGAGCACCCGGCTCAGGCGGAGGTGGTGGTGTCGGGCCAATGATGTCCTGGAGGATCGCAAAGTCCTGGTCTTTTTTGCATCAGGCAGCATAAACAGGCATCTGAACTTGCACTCCCGCTGCAGCAGTCCTTATCGCGCTGCTCCCGTTCAGCCCTGATCTGGGCAATCTTGCCCAAAACCTGAAACAGCACAGGGTCGAATGACCATGGAGGCCTCTGCGCCTTCTTGTGTGAACCGGAGCAAGCAACCGGAGTATGGCTTCCAGCTGATTTTTCACTTATGCCTCTGGGACGGTTTCGAAGAGGCGCCAACCAATACGCTGAATCCAAAATGGCAGATCCCAACATGCAACGAGTGCTCGCAGGACTTGCCTCCGCAGCTTTGTCGTAAGGCCGGCTGAGCTCGGCGAGCTGCCATCGGATTGGGCGGTGCAGGAAATGAAAACTCACCGCGAATTTTCTTAACACAACGGCTGCAAGGCAACTGGCTTGTTTTCTCCTTGCTCTCTCTGGATGCAGAGACGAAGTGCACCCCTCAAATCGGCGGGGAGCCGTTGCTCAATATCGACGGTCCGATGATTGATGGTAAAACACAGACGGGAACGATGCAAAAAGTTGCGAGGACACCATTTCAGATCAGCGTGGTAGGTGCTAGTCGTGGAATATCTGCCGTCACAAACGACAGCATGGCCAACATGTGCAGAGTGCACCCGTATTTGATGCTTCCGCCCGGTGGCGATGCGCATGAGAAACAGGCTCAGGACTTGCGACGTCACCAGGAAAGATGCCGACAGCCGCATCCACGTAGAGGACGGGCGACCAAACCTCGGAGCAGGGAAGCACGCACGACAGTTGCCCAACGGCTGAAAGGTGTGTTCGTGACTGCTTGTGTGTCCCCAGCCAAGGGCAGGAGGGAATCAGATCGTTGGAGCCCCCATGGCAAGTCTTTCTGGATTTTTTTTGCATCCTGGCGGTGTGCAGCCAGGCAACCGGCTGATCGTGCTGCTGGTCGTTCGACCATCACTCACCCAGTGTATCGCAGCTTGCACAAGGTTGCGGCCACGAAGCCATCCATGGCAAAGGACCTGGTAGTCCTGCAGGTCTCTTCGGGTATTACTGTGCTTTCGTGATGTGTAGACAGGTGGCAGCCATGTCGGTAGCTGGACTGGAAGGTTCGTTGCTAGCTCGCTTGGCTTCATGCAGCTATGTGTCTCGCACAAAGCTGCCGCAGGCCAGTTGCAGTCGCAAGTCGTAGAAAACGTCGTGGGTGGTCGCCGCCAGTATCAGGCCTGCAGCATCAAAGGAACTCGGTGTGAAATTCTGATGAGGCGTACCTTGCTACTCCAACGCACCAGGTGGCGGCTGCCGGACGTGATCGGTCACAGAATGTGTTCATCACCGGCATGATGACTTGACATGCCCTGTTCAGTGAACTGCTGAAGGTAAACATTCGACCAGGCCCGAGAAATAGGAGAAGGTTGTGCACTCTACGACTCGGCCAGCTTCTCGGATAACCGGGTGTCTTTGATGGCACTCAAACGGAAATGCCCTGTTCGCCCGCCTGAGGTTGGCACATCAAGTCGATGCAAAAAGCCTCGCCAATACAGCTTGTCACCTGGCGATGTCGCCGTGCATGAATGTTTTTCTTCAGGATCGATTGTGGATAGCCTTTTCCGGGAGGCTAGCATGACTAGCCGTGACTGGAACAGCCCGACACACCAAAAACCTAGGACAAATACTTTCGGATATGAGCCGTACTGAGTGCCCGACTGAGGATGGCGTAGCGCCGAGTCGGCATCAATGTTGACACCTAAGTGCCCGCAAGAACTCGAGGGGTCGAACATCCAAGGAACTCCGCCTGCAAGAAGTGCATTCCCAGCTGCAAAGGTGGACAAGTAGTTCATCGTCTCATCTTCCTCCGCCTCAGCCAGGCTTTCTTCGCCCTGGTCCACACACCAGCCTGTGCGTTGCGAGAGAATACAAGCGTTACAAGCCCCCCATCAACTGTCGACTCTTGAGGACAGGCCAGAAGCCGCTCCTGCAGGTTTGTGAATCACGAACGCCCCGGGCATCTCCCGCAACTGCTTCGGGACGGCTTCGGATCCCGTAGCCAAGTGGGCGGCAAACCTGCGGAGTGCTTCACCCTGCAAAGAGGAGTGCATCATCTGACCTGTGTCCGTAGCCTGCCCGTAAGCATGGCGCAGGGTGGCGCAGAGGAGCGTCCTGCAAGCTGCTGCCTGGGCGCATGATGTGGATGCAGCAGCCCCGTCGAAGCAAACTTCGAGGTGGCCAAGCCGATGTAACAATCATGGATTTGATGTAGAAGCCGTTCGACACTCAGCCCACAACAGGAATCTTAAGGGTTCTCTGCCAGCAGCAGGCGTATGTCGCCAAATCACGGAGATGGGGGACTTGAATTTTAATATGAACTGAACATTAGGGCCTAGAGCTCGACAAGACACGCAACTTTGAGTGGCAGTAGGGGTCGGGTTGAAACGACAGGCTATAGCTATCGGCCGATAACGTACAAGATTTCGCAAAGAGCTGCAGCGCCGTCTGGGCAAACAGCAGGAAGCTCTGCGGCCTCGGCCAGTGGCAGAGCCCATGTCGTATGCGCTGTCTGGTCAACTTGGGATTGTGCTCTAGCGATGCAGGTCGAAATGCGAGTTCTTTGGCGACTCAAGTGGTCTCAAGCTGAAGCCAAGCTAGAGATTCTCGGTGCCGAGACACAGCTTCTTGGCATAGCGGAGTGACCAGATCGAACCCAGCCTCATCCGATCTGTTCTACTTAGCCGGCCCATTGCACGAGTCCATGCTGGTTTGGCTATCTTGCACACGGGACCCTTTTCTTGAATCTGGCAGCCAAAGCAGGACACAATCCCCCTACCATCATCCAACTTGCCGGAAGCTCTTGAATCTTTGTGCCCAGCTGCAGCCCTTCGGCGAAGTCTCGTGCTGCATCATCTTGATGCACGGATCCATAGATCAGGGCCTGGGCTCTGCGGGAACTCGCTCCAGGAAGGCATGGAACGTTCGGACAGGGTCGGGCATCGACTTTTTCAGTTGCCTCAAGCATCCTGCAGTGGGATGGGCGACCATTGCCCTTTCATGTGGTGGATGATGCTCTGAATTTCCATTTCGCCTGGCTTCCAGTCGTCGTCAGCAACTGCTGCATAAGGGACACCACACTTCACCAGGATCATGCACACGTGCTTGCATCGCAACTGACTGCCCCACTGTCTCGCATCGGGGCAGGTGCATGTCGGAGGCCAGGACGTGGAGAATCGGGTCGTGTGCTCTATCATGCCAGTCGGCCCAATGATGTCAAACTCCACCCCATCTGCAGTATGCCTCCCTGACTTGCAATCGAATCCCACGGTCGTGGCATTTTGCCAGTCGTCCATGGCGATTTCTGCGACTTGACGCTGGGACATAGAAGGTTTAACAGTAGTCGACCTGCCGTCAAGATCCATGAGACGCTGCAGTAGCTCTGGCTTTGTGAGGCCTGCGGCGTCTACGTTCTGGCTCGTCAGCATCTCAATCAGCTCGCGCTTTCGCAGATTTCCGAGGTCGCCTTGAAGGGCTCTCAAAGGGGGGATCATCAGCCGCGCCCTGGAGTCCCTGGAGACGGAGCCCAAGGAGCCCAAGGGGTGCTCGTAGGGGAGCCGGAGGAAGGCCAAGGCCAACGGAGACGTCAGAGCCAAGGCCCCGAGCATCGGGACCCGTCGAGCAAAAGCCATTTGAACCGGGAACGAAGGGCCCCGGGGGCTCTTTTACTTTCCTGGGAGGGGCATGAGAGGGGCATGAGACGGGCTTTGGAAGTCTAAGCTATTGCGCTACGCCGGAAGCTTGGTGAGCTCGAGCCCATGCGTGGCATCAGCAGTTGTATGCTTGTCTGCAGGTGGATAGGTGCGATATTCCCTCTGTTTCTTCAGTCGTTGTTGTGGAAGTTGACAATCCAAACCCAACTTTTACCGTCCAACGCTGAACAAAATGAATGACCTGCAACGAGCTGCTCTGCGTTCGATGAAGGCTTCCTGTACCGCTTGGAAAATCGCGCTCGAACCTGGAAGGAGCTTGCATGAGTTAAGGCTGTCAACACCACATTTGTCAGCTCCCCACACCTGGGGCATCAGAGACTGCATAGGCCCAGCAAAGATTCGCAAGCTCCTCCGTGCAGGATCTCGATTCTCTCTTGTGGCCTCTTAAGCCCTCTGCGTTGTGTTTGCTTCTCTCTCTTCAGCCAACCTGCGCCTGCAGGAGACCAGCCCCCCTCTGCTGCGTCAAGGTCTCGGCAGCTTGGACATAGAGAGCTTCCTCTGTGACCTAAGCTTGGAGCAGCCAGGAAGAGCTCAGATTGTCTGCAACCCCCAATGCTAGAACAATCCAAGGAAGCGGCGAGCATGGAGGCAAGTGCCCTCAGAAGACTGACCAACCTCAGCTGTGCTGCTCGTATATCGGAGGAGAGCCCGAACTGTGAAATGACACGATGCAAAATCGAACATCATCTACCATCACTGCAATCATAATGGTAGCACTATAGCCATCATCACCATCGTACTTATGATCATACGTCATCATCACAAGCATCATCACTGTCATCATACGTGCCAGAGGAGCAGGAAACTCACGAAGATTTGGCGAGGTGCTTCTTCGGCCTGAACTTCCCCACCATGCGGCTGGCTCGCTTGGCTGCTGCCTCTCCCTGACAGGGTTGCTGTGCGACTACAACGGAAGTCCCATCCTGCTACAGTAAGGCACGACCATCCCTTTAGTCCTGGCAGAAAAGCTGTGACGCTACCTTCAACGTCGCGTTGGAGAGATGTTATGACAAATTGCAAACCAGCACGCCCCCTTACTCTATTGCAGGGGGCGGACAAAGTCAATGTTGTTGCTCCCAACCTGTTCCCACAGGACCCGCGATGGTGGCTGCTTGGATAGTCGCCTGGGCATCAACCGATCTTGTAAGGAAATGCAACTGACTGCTTAGCACTGCCCGTTCAGCAAATCTACATTCGGCAGGGTGCCATATCGCGTGGTGCAAATCCGTGGGCTCAGCATCGGAGACCGCTACTCCTGCCGAGTCAGTTTCACGTTCCTACCTGACATATAGACACTATATGTAAGCTCATGCAACTAGTTGTGCGAGCGTCCTGGACTCGCATCTGTAAGTTCCAGAACCAGACGCCACTGCAGCCCGTTCTCGCACACCGTGATGACCTCGGCGTGAGTGACCACGCCGAAAGAGCTACCAAGTACTTGGAGTGCTGAATCCAGCAGCATTTAGAATCTAGCCGCATGCTGCACCTGTGTTATGCCGAATGGTATCCCGGACTCGGTCAATCTCGGGTGAGGCACCGTGTTGTGGGTGATGGTGCCGGGCTGCAGTGCTGACGCTGGCATGCTCTCTAAGAGAGACAAGGCAGAGGCCCAGCTCGCGGACTTGGCACAGGCACCGATGGCTGCATTGCAGGTGACTCGATCCCTCAAAATGCGAGTTCCAGCCATCTGCTGCAAGAGCGATAGTGCCACATGCCAGTGACCGCACTTCTCACAGGCACTGATTGCCGCATTGTAGCATTTCCGACTATCTGGCAAAGTCTTGCCCATGTCCTGCAGCAAGGCCACTGCATGCTCCCACTTGAAGGCTTTCTCGCACGCACTGATGGTGGCAGAGTAGCTTGAATCGGTGGGCTGCGCTGACGACTTTAATTCATCGAGAAGGTCAATAGCCAACAACCACTGACCACCCCGCCCACATGCACTGATGATTGTATTGAAGCACATCACATCTCTGCGCAGCATGTCCCTGTGCATCTCATTGAAGATGGTGAGGGCTTCTTGCCACAGGCCTTCCCTGGAAACTGCGGCAAGTAGTGAGCTGAAGCTTACTGGAGTAGGTTCAACGGCAGTCTGCCTCATGAAGTTCACATGGTGGACTGCATTGGCCCATTTGCTACCAGCAGCAAATGAACTAAGAGCTACATTGTGTGTGATCTCGTTGTGGGGAATGTTTTCCTGCGGCATGCAGTTGAGAATTCCGATGGCATCCGTCCAGCCACTGCACTCTCTGCAGCTGTTCATGGCTGCAGAACAATGGAAGACGTTTGTCTCAACATGCCCTTCTCTCATGAGAGCAAGGGCATGCTGTACTAGCTCCGGGCTTGAGAAGGATCGAATCGCGGTCGTGGCTGACCATGGACTTAATCTCCATTTCTCCAGGGTCAACTTCACCGCTGCTGGATCCGTGAGGCTGCCGGCAGCTTGATGCTCGCACATCAAGTCCTCAGCCGTGCTGGGCGTTACTTGTACGAGCCTATAGGCCTGGCTTCCTCAATTGGGGGGTTCGGTTCTGTCTTGAATTGATGCTTTGTTGGACCAGCCACGCGAGCCAGTGCTGCCTAGCCGTGGCTGAAAGTCTCAGCCACTCCATGGCCCTTCTGAGCCGAAATTGCTGAGTTCGGGTTGGCGGGCGCTTCTACAAGCAGAGCTTGCCATCATAAGAATTTCGGATCATGCCTGCTGTGCAGCCCCCAAACAACATGCTTGCAACGCCAGCGCGGCATCATCGCTGTCTGCCTCCAAACGCAGACAACGGTACATGAACGGCTTCATGCTCCGGGAATCTTCGTGATGCTTCTTCCCGCCTGCTGGGGTCCTATGAGCCTGGACAGCTTGAAGTCATCACCGACCCGCACCACATGGTCCGTCACCAGAAGCCTGGAGCTCGGCAGGAGTTGTGTGCATGACTAAGCACTAGATCAGCTTCAACTTCGTACTAGTACAGGGTGCTACTGTACGAGTACAAAACGGCCCCAGCCTCGCGGGCGTGCGAGGTGTCCGCCTCGGACCCACCAAGTCGGCCTAAAGGGCCACGGGACATGTGAGAAGACCCGGCTTTATTTATAGGTTTTCTGGGCCGCACCAGAGCAGAGTCGTCCGAGCGGACCTGCTCTGGAGATCCTGGCAGAACGGGCCACGAGCATGGCCACGAGCTCCGCTGGAGTGCTGGGACCCCTTTCTGAGCAGACACGCAGAGCTCCACTTCACGCCCGTCCTTCTGCTGACGTGGATCCGATGTGTGGGGTCAAGCGGCCTGGTGCCGTGTCCGACTTACCGTCGTGAAGGCTTGCCTCGTACCAGGCTCCCTTCAGCTGAAGCCTTCCGAGAAGGAGCCTGACATGCCGGCAATCGCGTTGAGCCTGACAGTCAGAGCACTCGGAAGATCCATGACATCTTGCCAGTCTCAAGCGCTCCCCACAAACCGCAACAACCTTCCAATGAAGGAGCTACGAGTACTGAGACCGGAGGGTCAGAGGATGGCGGAGGGAGGCCTCGCCTCGCGTCGTCCTCGATGCTGGTGACATCCAGTGCTGGGGGCGCCGCCGCCCTCTGCTCCGAGCGGACCAGCCTCGAGGCTGACTCTTAACTACACCTTGTGGTTCCTTGGAGACTTGGAGCACGCCTTTCTGGGTAAAGACGGTGCTTTTTTGTGGGGTGAAGGGGGAAGTGAGCCCTTGGGACCTGCATCAGTTGTCGAGCTGGCTTCCCGGCGATCCCGCCTTCTGTCATTGAGGCGCCAAGGTCTATTGCGAGTGACCCAGTTTTACACTATATATATATACACACATACTTATATACTGTACTCAACATAGTGAAAAGCGAGGATGCCATCCCCCTTCAACGAGCACTCCGACCAGGCATGCTTGAAGGTCCCTGGTGGCTGCCGCCTACCTTACTTTCTCTCCTTCGGCGCTCAAAGGCAGTCTTTTTGCAAATATGTGTTGGATAGGGTAGGGCCGGGTAGGGCTGACGCGGAACGTCAACTCCGTCTTGGACCCGAGCTCCGACAAGCGTCCGCCGCCATCTCTGCTCAAACGTGAAAGCATCGAGGCCAGGAAAGGCGAAGACTTGACTAAGACACGCTTCGACTCTTCCCCTGTATCCCGGTCTCACTTTGCTGAAGATCTCGCAATCTCTGCTTTACAACCAATGGCTCAATTCGACGTGTCTGGGCAGAAATAGCAGCAAAATGTAGCCCGGGCAGTAACAACTGTCAGAATGAATAGAAAGACATGGGGAGCTCAAGTCTCCATCAACAGGATAGTGGAGCTCACATCTCTTACTCTTGCTGTGAGCATTGCTAAAGATGGAGCCTTGCAGAGCGTAACCTGCATGGCTCTAGCAGACTTGGCGAGTTTCTGGAAGCCCTCCATTGCCAGCTTCGTACCTCGCAGCAGAAAGGTTTCCATCGGTTGCCATCCACGACTCTCCCTACGGTGACACGCTGGCCTCCCACTAAGAAGCCGCGCTTGTGCAAGTAGCCACTCACTTGACAGACCTGGCAAAAGCTCCGAGATTTGGGGGTTTCCGAAAATCGGGGACCCTGTTATAGTAATTACCCTAAATAGTAGGATCCTCACTTTAAGGACCCCAAAATAAGGTACCCCTTATTTTCGGAAACTCCCGTTCTTGGCACTCAGAGGAGCCCAGGCCAAACCACCTGTGGCACATTTGGCGCCTCCCCGGCTGCTGCGGCTTCCACGGCTTTGCGGCACAAGTCCTGGACCTGATGGAAAGGAGTTTCCGACAATAAAGTGTACCTTGTTCTAGGGTCCTTTTAATAAGTATCCTACTATTTAGGGTAATTATAATAACGAAAAGCGCTTTTCGGAGCACAGCTCTTGCCTTCAGAGCCTACTGCAAGCTTCCACTCTTGAAATGACTGCACTGCGAGCCTTTGGTTCGTCGAGTCCAGTCACCGAGACAGTTGCCTGCTTGCGCTTGCAAGTTGTCAACAACAGAGGCAACTTTGCGAAGAAAATCACGCTGCTCACGGACACACTGGCTATGTGCGTGCTGAAGGGACTCATCGAGCTTCCTTTTTGCACATCTTGCTTGTTGCTGGAGAAAGTGCAGTCCTCGACTATAAGGCGACTCTCAAACCCAACATACTTTAGAACGCGTGCCACACCGAAGTATGGCATCAACGGCACTGAAACCATGTGTGGAAACATGTTCCACATGATACTAATCCCTTGTCACGGCTCGTAGTCTTCACGCCTTGTCCTTGAGGGTGCGCGGTGGCGGCAAGAAGACGGTAAGGATGACGGCAATTCCAATGATTCCGACACCGGAGAGGCCGAAGAGGAGATAGAAGGC